TACTTTATATTAAAAAAAAGTATTTATCCCTGCATCATTCTAAAAATAATTAAAAAATATTGGAAGATCAAAAATTTCAATCCAGGAGAATCGAATGAGAAAGATTTGGTTAATATCTCTTTCGGAGAAGCTTTCTTTGAACAAAGCAACCTAATAACGAGCACAAAGCTCAAATTAAATGCCAAATGGAATGAAAATAGTCAATTCTTAGGTGGATCATAAAAAAAAAAGAATCAAGAATATCAAACAATCTTTTTCATTACTTGAGAAAAGTATTTAAAATTTTTCCAAAATTTGAATCCCAATTGAGATGATTTAAGTAAAATTTTTCTTAATAATCAAACACAAGAAAGAGATAAATAAATAAAAATTTAAAGGAAAACCTAAATACCTAATTATTCAAAATAATATGAAATTCAAATGCATAAAAAACTCAACCTGAATATGTTTTCACAAAAGATTACAATATTAACACTACAGTCAAGTGATAATTCCTCCTGTATATAAACTTTGTATTGTCATCAGTATCTGTTACAAGAATGTCAGAAAATGAAACACTTGTTTTTCTAAATAAAGACATTGATCAAGTCATTGGATTCTATTCTGAAATTAAGTTACATTAATCAACTTGGTGAGACATTTCACTTTTATAATTAATATGAAATTTTCAGATTGGATTCAAGTGTAAAGTATCTTTTTTTGCCAATTAACAGTACATCCTGTTTTTTTCAATTGAAAGATATCTGAAGAAAAATATTATCAGTCTTCTCTTGAATAAACATCTTAAGATTAAGCATCATTTAATGGTCTTTTTCCCTTGAATGTCATGAACTATTATTAAATGCATAAGATAGTTTGTTCCTTATTATGTAAAATATAGTAAAATATAGTAAAACAAAAATTCAGCTACCTGACCTGATTTACGTTCATAAATCAAAAATCTATTTATTAAATGTATGAAAATGAATGACGGGAAAACAAACGTCCCTTATGGTTTCATTAATGAATTATAATAAATCTTAAAAATATTTACAAGATTTTTTTAAGAAAAAATTGATAATAATGATTATAGATATTTGATATTCATGTGGTTAAATTATTAAACAAGGCATAGATAAATTTTTATTATTATCAGGTAAATTTTTATTTTATAATGACGAATATTTGTAGTAAAAGATTTATTTTCGGAAATGGTAAGCAAAAACTTGATCTTATGCGGAAAATATTAATTTAAATGTTTGTATCTAAATATTTTATAAGATTTTATGAATAAAATTTAATTGAAATAATGATTCATTATAAAGGTGTTAATTGCAACGAGAAATCCTAATTGTATTCTATTTTAGAATCACTAGAATCACTAGACAACAATAATAATGATTCAAATTTTCAAAAAATCCAATAAATATTTTTGCTTCAAAAACTTCCAACAATGGAGAAAATGCTCATCCCTTTTTTTAATTAACTAGTGGCGCTGCTGATTTATGTGCGTTTAATGATAATAAATAAATATAAAAATTTATATTAAGCATTCACGCTATGTGTTTTTCAAATTTTGTCAACATAAACATCCTTTAACACCTTGATCCCGTTAAGAGTTGAAAATCAATCATCTGATAATGTGTCTTTGTTTTGAAAAAATAGATTACGAAGTTGAAAAGTGAATGAGATAATTCTTTAATTGGGAGGTGATTATCGCTATCGTTGTTGAATAAATTCAAGTTTGTAAAAAAAATGAATGATTTTAGATTGGCATAATAATCTTTTTTTTTCTTTTATTTAAGTAACCATTGTTCTTTGGGTAAAAGAATTTCTTCTACTTTTACTTCATTTCTATTTATATTTCGAATATTGTTTCTTATAAGAACTGAAAAATTGTCATAATAAAATCTTAATGGAAAATGGGCAAATTTACTATTTTTTTTTATCTAACTTCCTTCGAACTAAAGTATGATTTTTTAAAATGAACAATAAAAATCAATAACGAGATCGGTAAATTTGTTATTTGGCTACTTTTAGAAACAAGGTGAGTTTTTTTTTCGCAATTTAGAAACAATTTTATGTAAGAGAAAAATTTTTATTTGCTAATATATATATAAAATTTTAACATGAAACACGAATTAATAGTTTTAGGTATAGATATATTCGACTTAAATTAAAACAACTTCACAAATCAGTCTCAGAATTGTATCACACAAACTTAATAAACAATACGCTCCATCTGCCAAAATATTAATAATTACTTGTTCCAAAAACAATATTTTTAGAAAATTTAATAATAATATTTTTTTAATGTCTAAAAATAATGTTTTTTAGACAATTTATAGTCGATTTAATAGATATTATTAAATCACCTAAAAGATAATATTTCTAAGTGATTTGATAATTAACCCTCTAAAATATAATCAAGAAAATTTTTGAAGTCGAAATTTACGTAAGTGTCGTATTATTCCGAAATTTTTCGCAGAAAAAAATCCGTTTTTTGAATTCGTTCTCGACTAATACAACGGGGAGCAAATTTATGTTAAGATATTTCTAAGATAGATCGAAAGCCATTTTCCTGGCTACAGCATGATATGCACTTCATTACTGTAGCATTGATATTCATCGAAATATTTACGTTTAAAGCTGAACGTCCTCGAAAAGTACCGATAAAAAATTTTCGTAATATTGCGAAGATGCTCGACTTTAAATGTGAATATCTCGATAAATATCGATGCTACAGGAATGGAGAGCATATCTTCTTGTAGACAGCAATAAGGGTTTTCTGTTTATCTTAGAAATACCTTAGTGGAAAATCCACTCCGTTTCATCAATCGCGAGCGAAGTCAAAAAACGGATTTTTTTTCAGCGAAAATTTTCATAATATTACGACACTTACTTAAACTTACGTAAATTTCGACCTCGAAAATTTTCCAGATGCATTGTTTTTTAGACGATCGTCTAATTATATTAGGCTTGTGAGCCCCAAAGGCTTTAACTATGTTATTCGTGATAATTTTAAATAAATTTTAGAAGCAACAATCATATACAAAATAATAAAAATTCCTATATATATTTAAAGATATAAAAGGCAATTTTTACCTTTTCGGAAAAGAGCAACATTTAAATCTTAAAAAGGGCAAAATTTCCTTCAATATCATTCGAATCTATAAAGTCAAGTCATTTTTTTCCTTTTTCAGATTTGAATTGTTACTCTTCTCTGAAAAAGGTAAAAATTGACTTTTATAGGTTCGAATGATATACATTGAAATGCACCCTCTATAAGTGCATCCCTTCTTAAATACACTCTTTAATCCAATCCCCATATTGGGGAATAATTGCTAAGTGCATCCCTCTTATTTTGCACAGTGCAATGAATTTTTGTTTCCCAATTATATAAATATTAGTCTCTATAAATGCACTTATGTGATATATATATTATGTGACATAATAATTGTTCAGAGCGTAGCATAGGACACTTAATGGACGAGTAAAGTGATATCAAAATTAAGTTTTTGATGTACAAAAAGTTCTGATATTGATGTACCTATAATAAAGAAATAAGAAAATAATCAAAAATATAACTTAGAATAGGTGTCTATACGATTTTAGATAATTATTGTTGCTGATAAAGAATAGCAATAAATAACACAACAATAATCAATCTTTTTTTTTTGTTTATTAATTATTAAAATGAATTTGTTTATTTGTTTCTTATTTTGAAATATGGTGCAAACGCTTAGTCACATCCAATAATTTTTAATAATTTTAAATAAGTAGTTTTGTAGCTCATGATATGATCATTAAAGTTACGTATTTTTTTTTATTTATTTTATTATAAAAATTTTTTGTAGTTACATTTTTTATGATAATAATTTTAATAGTAGATGAATAATTTTCAGCATCCTGGGAGTCATGTGTCGAGATATTATTGGCCAATAAAAATCATATGCTCGTGTATAATTGGCTGGCCGGAACTATCCAAATTCCTTGCAGGAACCTGACGATCATTAAATTTCTTTTGTGATAAACGAAAAACAAGAATGGTATTTTAGGGGAAAGTCATGATAAATACATTTAAGAATATTTCGTAATATAATTATGACAATGATATTATTCAAAGGGATTAAAGAAAAAAGAGACAATTATTTTTCTTTATTTTTTTATTTTTTATTTATTTTATTATTATTTATTTATTTTATATATTTAGATCCATGGGCCTTGACTTAAACTATATTGAATATGTATTCTCATTTTTACTATAATTTGTTTAATACAATTATAGGGAGCCCTTGTTAAGTATTAATAAAACTTATATTACTCTAAAGATTCGATGTAAGGTAATAAATAGCCCGGAAGGTTATAGAAGGTGGATTGAAAGATCGAAGTAGTTTCTCTCTACGACTTCATCATGATCTGCGCTACTTTACGATAGTGTTCCTTCTGTTCCTTTGATTTCATAATAATGGGGATTTTTTTTTGTTTTATCAAATTTTTTGATCTTTAACAATAATTATATAGAGTCTTGGTATTTGCTTTTAATTTAATTGGATCAACAATGTGCAAGAAGTAATAATTGAAATTACATTACCAATAAAAATTGTTTTTTAATTCTAATTTTCGACGAAGCCAAAATCAAAAATTTTTTAAAAATAGATCACTTTTACACATAAAAAATTGGTATCAGCTGTGGTTAAGGAAATATGTATAGAACCATCATGAGGTTCTATTTGAAATGGTTTGTAGGACGTTAATCAGATTAATTTTTTTTTCTAACAAATGGCACTTCAAATGTTATTGTAACTAATGTAACTGCAGATTTGGAATGTTGCGATTTATTAAAAACAAGAAAAATGCACATCATCAAGCATTTCTATGATGGTCATTAATTAAATAAATATTGTTATATTTCCCTCATACTATGGCACCGGTTTCTGTTGTTCCTGATGACGTTCTAAATATATTTATTACTTAACGTTATGTTGATAGGCAACCATTATTTTAAACATTAAATTAGTTTAATTCATTAAATATAATGATTTAAGCTATAAATAATAAAATGATATAAAACTTATTATCAATTATTTCTTCTGACAAAATTATTATCTAAAAATTGAAATAATTTATATATACCGTTGATTTTTAGTATTCTCGTATTCAACTTAACAAAATAATAAATGAAACAAATAACTATAACTAAATCTATTCCCTGATTCGTATTATATTTAAAAATATTATTCGTAATATTATTCTTCTATATTAAATTGAACTCCATATTCTTTAATAACTTTAAAATGTTCATCACTTAATTTAAATCTCGATCGTCTTAACTGTTCTGAACGTTTTACAATAATCTTTTTATTTCCTTCTCTTCCTTTACGACACCACCCTTCAAAGAATTTTCTTAAATCATCAGCACTAAATATCCATGGATTATAATAATTCATTCTAATTTCAATAGTTTCAAGTGATTCCGGTACATTTTTGGCCATTTGACATAATAATTTATCAGCATCAATTCTTTCCATTCCACAATCAAATGAAAAATTTCTTAATTCATTAAAATTATTATTAAATATTGCTATTACTTGTTCAGAACTTAAATTTAATAAAGTTAATTCGGTAATATTTGTGCAATAATTTAAAATGGCCGAAAATATATCAAATGGAATTGTGTCATATAAACTTAGACGGATATTTCTTAAATTTTCATTGGCTGTTTCGAGAATTTTCACAATAAATTTTTGTGGATACCCTTTATATGTATATATAAAATGAAAACTACTTAATTGAGTAAATGCTGCAGCCAAGGATAAACAATTCCATTTATGTAATCCATGACAATCTTCAATATAAAGTTCTTGAAGTGAAGTAAATCGTCCAATTGGTGATGATTTTCTCTCGAAGTGATGAAAGATTAAAAAATTTAAACGAAGACACTTTAATGTTTCTTTTTGACTAATGATAGCCCGAAATATTGAATTATAATCTTGATAATATTTAGCCCCAATTGATAGATTTTCCAAACGTTTTTGAGCACTTATAAGTTCCGCTAATAATTGTACTTGAAAATATAAGTCCAATTTCAAATCCATATTTAAAATATTATCACAAATTAGTTTTAATGATTCATATAATGGATAAATCTGTTCATTATTTTCTATCGTCGAAGTAAAGCTTTCTAATTTCTTAAATACTTTCGAGGCACCAGATAACTTGAAAATTGAACCAATTAAATCACCATAATCTAGAAAATTCCTAGAAAAACATTTGGCTCCCGTCATTTCGAAAGAATCTAAATATGTACAATGATCTATTATTAATTTACATATCTCACTAAATAATATTCTCGATTTGTTTATGACGATTTCCTCATAAGTCTCATCACCAATATTGCAATTATCTTGATCCGGATCAATAATTTGTGGTAAATATTTGGAAATAAAATTAACTAAATTATTAACTATAAATTTATGAGTGAAAGATGGATAATCAAAAGTGGTTTGAGGTGGTGATGATGATAAATCCAATCCATTTTGAGTAAGTAAAGTTCTAGTGTGAGTATTCATACATGATATATAAGTTCGAATACATAATGCTTTCTTCCTCAACTTCTTATCATCTGTACAACATTCTTGACCCAAAGGTAATTCCCAAAGTATAGGTACAGTAACTTTACACCAGAATCGGTTAACTAAAAATGATGAATATAAATCTTGAGTTGATTGAACATTATTTAAAATCATAATCAATAATTCCGTGGAAATTTTAGTTGCCATTTTTTTTTTAGTTAAAAAAAAAAAAATAATAATAATTGTATCACATTTATTTATAAAAATTATTATTCAGTGTGTAACCATTCTGATATGTAATAGTGACCAAAATAATAAATCAAAATAAAATGAATATTATAATAGGAAAGGTTATTTATTAAAATCTTAAAATTTTACTTGCCCGACCCACTTGTGTACCATATTATATTCTTTTAAGTATTAAATTATATACATACACTTCTAATAAGTATGTACCCCTAGGAACGATTTAAGTTTAACATCCGGAAATTTTTTTTTTGCGCACATACGTCTCAATATTACATATTTTAAAGGGCTTTAAACCGGAATATCTCAGCGGATATCGGTGCTACTGGATTAAAATACACATTATCTTGTATCACGGAACCAGGCTTTGATAGAAAACGGCGTGGAAAAATTTCGCTGTAAAAATTCCATAAATTTCTCCGGAATTTTTACGCCAAAAAAAAAATTCCTTTTTTTTTGAATTCGATCGCAATCTTCTATTAAATTATTCTTATGACCGATCAAAAGCCCTTGTTCTGGGCTACAATATAATATGTATTTCATCCCTATAGAATCGATATCCGTTGAGATATCCCCTAAAACGGCCCATTTTAAATACCGAAAATATAAGTATTGTCGTAATATACGCCTAAAAAAATTTCCTGATACTTGGAAGGTAGGGTATAACTTATCCGGAACTTTTGGTCGGCAGATGTTAAATTAATTTAAAATTTGCCGAAAATGAATTAAAGGATATATATCTATTTCTTAAATTTGACTATTTTGAATATTTTTCTAAAAAATAGTTCTCTAATTGAAATAAATTGTCCAATTGGTGATAATTTCTCCTCGTAACGATTATAATATAATGTTTTAAACGAAAACTCTTTTAATGCTTCTTTTTGACTAGACTATTGATGGGACAAAATATTAAATTTGGAAGTTGATATATGTTGCTTTAAAAATTTAGTATGTTTTCTTAAAGTAATATTTCAAAAAAACGAAATGGTGATCGTCAAAGATCATACCGCTAATAACTTTTGGTTTGATGCAGCGACTTGTCACTATAATTATGAACTCTTAACAAAAAATTCCAACGTGAAAAATAACGAAAATTTTATCATCCTATTTCTTGTGGCAATTCATCTAAAAAAAATGGAATCTGCAACAATTCAATCAAGGTCAAATTGTTTTTTTTTGATTGGAATTATTTGAAAATCAGTTCAGTTAATATAAATAATTTAATAAAAACTACATTAAATAAAATAAATTATTTTATATATCATCATTGGAGTAGAAACAACAATACATTTTAATAATTAATAAAAACCTGATATTGTTGAACTAATAGATTCTAACATAAAAATTTAATAATAATAAACAAATTGTAGAAAATAATTTTGGAATTTTTACGTATATTCTATTTTTAATTGTGCAATTAATTAATTGGAATTTTTATTATTAAAAGAAAGAGAATCATGACATTTTATGAAAGATTAAACAAAATACATCATATTTTGACATTTTTCATTGGGGATTGGAAGAATATATTGAAAATTATTATCATCAAACTTCTTATTTTTCTTATTGTTGCTCTCATTATCATTCTCATCGATATCCATAGCTTCGGGGTGATTATCACGATTGGCAGCATTGCAAATTAATCGATATCTATTTGCTACTCCGGACGCGTAAGAAAGGCAAACAGGCATTGAAATAGCGTGCGTACAACTGTCAACATACAATAATCAAAAATATTAAAAAAAAAAAAATAGATTAAAAAAAATATTAAAAAAAAAAAATAGATTAAAAAAATAATAAAAAAAAATAATAATAAAAATGGATTTAAAAAAATTGTCATCATTACCTTGAAGACAAAAAGCAAAGTTTATAAGTAATGGATTGTAATTCTTCTGAATTAAAATTATTCTCATCGTAGAGAACATGATAATGAGTGGGACGACTTTGTGCATTCGATGAGGGATGTGATTGAAGATCTATAAATACCATAAATAAATTATATATATATATATATTATATATATATGTATAAAATGAGAATAATTGAAATCGAAAATTATAAATAAATATTCTAAAAAATAAAATAAAATTAATAGTTTTACTTACAGAAATCAAATTCTTGTTTAATAGTAATTCCACGATCAACTACAATTCCACTTCTGGGATGTCCAAATTGATCCGCGTCTTCGGGATTTTCGGGTAAAAACCTACACGCATAGAAATAAATTTAATCAATTATTTTTTGTAAAGAATTATCGAATACAATTTTTTAATATATACATAATTTTCTACCTGGTATGTTGACTTTTTTCGGCAATGATATAAGTTAAAGTAGGCATTACAGATTGATATGATCTTGCGAAAGCAGCTTTGAGTGAAATACATTCAATATTCAAAACATCCCGAAATTGATTATTGTTGAGACCACTCCTATTTGTTGTTGTGTGTTCGAAAAAATACGAGCGATCGATCGATCGAATAAGATTGAATTAACGTAATGAACGTAATGAAATAATACGATCGAAAACAATAAAATTTATACATAATACAAATAATACATATATATACCTATAATAAAGAATTCTCTGTGGAAGTTTTTGATTTCGATCATAATAGTTTTTCAGTAAGTCATGAATCATTTCTTCTAGATTTTCAACGAATGGATTGAAAAGGACTTTTTGCACGCTTGATCTTCCAACATAAGTCGTGAGAGACTAAACAATAATTTATAATAATTTTAATATTTTCTTTAATTTTTAATAATAATAATAATAATAATATTTTACCGAATCCATAGATCCGGATACGCCACAAATGCTTTTCTTTATTTTACATAACGCAGATGGATGAGAATTATCTGCACCTATAAGCATTGTCTATAAAATATAGATATAAGATATAAAGAAGATATAAGATATTAAGTAGTAACAATATTAATATAACATTTAGAATATTCATAAATATCGATATGTAAATATAATATACCGGGATATCAGCTAAGAAACCCATATCTTCATCCGCAAGTTGAAAATTTTTTCCTCCAATCTTTGTATTAATCTTCAAACCAATATTAGCAAGTAATGGTTTATTGTATCGAAAGATCATTTTATCTGAAGTGATAACCTTTGATGAAAAAACAATTAATGTAATAATTAATTGCTAATATTGATTGTTGTAATTGTTGTTATATATATATAGAATATCAAAAACATATCAAGAAAATATGTATTTAACTTGTGTCGCTATTCCTAATTCAATCTCTGCAACTTTCTTTATTTCGGCATATAATGGTTTCGAATGATTAGTAATAATAACGACGATTAATTGAGGTGCTAGATTTTTATTAATTGCTGCCTTCTTAAATGCAATTCCCATCGCCTGATGAAAAATATATATATTATTTTTAAAAAAATTTATTATTTCTTATAATATTATTATTAAATTAAACTTAAGAAAAATAAGTAATCAAATAAATAAATATTTTTACCATCCTGATTGAATGTTTGTTTCCAACAAGAATTGGAGGCTTGTTTACAACGCCCTATGTTTTTTTATAATATATTTTCATTATATATTTTGTATTTTATGTATATATATATATATATATATAATTTTAAATGCTTTGTATATTTACCAAACCAAGTTCATTTAATGTGTCAATTAATTCTTTAATAAATTTCTGAATACGAGAATTAGTTCGTTCATCGTCAAATGAAATTACCGACCAATTTTCGAGTTGTTTTGGCTATTTGAAATATATGATTCATGTTAATTAAAGTGAATTCATAATTATATATATATAATCTTAGTATTTTATAAAAACTTACCACTTGAACTACTCGCTTCATTATTTAAAAAAAATTTTTAATTCATTTTTAATTCGAATCATCAGTCTGATTAAGATTTTCAAGAAACTAGAAAGAGCGACTTACATTCTCAAAGGTCCACCTTCCTCCTTTTGTCTTCACCTCAGTTAATTTACCTTCCTCTTCACAAAGGAGTTTTGGAGGATTCAGCAAACGACCTTGTAAAAAAAAAAAAAAAAAAATCAATGAATAAATAAATAACGATAAAAATGAATAAAAATAAATAAAACTGAATAAAAATTAAATAAAACTGAATAAAAAATAAATAAAAAAAAATTAATAAAATATATATATATATATACATAAAACTAATAAAAATAAATAAAAAAACGAATAAAAATAAATAAAAAATGAATAAAAAAATTAATAAAAATGAGTAAAATAAAATAAAATAATAAAAAAAAAAAAATTAAAAAATAAATGAAAATAAATAAATAAAAAAATAAGTAACCATTAATTGACATCATATCAGTATCAATTTCCATTCTAAATTCTCTAAAACATTCAGCATTATCGAATTGTAAGACATTTTCTACGCGTTCGGAAATATATTGAAAACGATCTTGATTTTCGGTAGTAAGTTTGATACCAATCCCTGAATTATCTTCTATGGCCTCTAACCTTTGTCCTGTGCGTGTGCAGTGATATAAGTAAAGATATAAATAAAGATATAAGTAAAAATACAAGTAAAAGATACAAGTAAAATTAGATACAAAGTAACATTAACTAATGACTCACCGGATAAAACTTCGCAAACTTCAATTGGCATAAAAAGTTTTTCTTTAACTATCAAGCAAGGTAATTTGATATATTTTAATTTCCATTTATATTCTTGATAAAAAAATTTTCCGCAGTTCATTAAAGAACCATCATCAGTGATTACATTTTGAAATTCTGTTATGATATCAGCGATACCATGAATTTTATATCGGGTTTTGGGATTTCCTCGATGTACAACTCGTATATTTAATCCGATAAGTGCCTATTATTTTTATAATATATATTGAAAATAAAAATAATAATAATTATTATTATTATATTGTATAAAAATATACGAATCTTTAGTTAATTAATAAATTACCTCTTCTAAAATATTTCTATCCTTTAAAGTAATTCCTACTTTTAAATTTTTTTCAGATTTACACAACAATCTTGCAATAACTTTAACTAAAGGTTCCGCGGGAATTCTCAAATCAGGTTCATTAAAGTCAACATTTATGACCATATTTTCTAAAAAAAATACGGTTTTGTAAATTTTTATAATAAAATAAAAAAAAAATTAGCATTGAATAATAATAATACGAATACATATAATAATTATAATAATAATAACAAATAAATAAAAATAAAATCAAATTAATACCCCATCCAGCATTCATTGACTTGCAAAAACCTTTATTAATTCCTCCCAATATTCGATTTTTAGCCATACGATTACACCATTCGTCAACATTATTCACATCAAATTTACATTGAGCGGAAAAATTAATAATAACATTTAATATTTGATTACATCTTACAACTTCTTTGGTAAGCGGTCTTCGTTTATTAATATATTCTTGAAGTGGTTTAAAATTCACAATTTCTATTTTTTCCAAACCAATTATCCAACTTCTTCCTCCTTTATTTTCTTCTTTTTCGTCTTCTTCTTCTACTACTACTTCTTCATTCATAAATAATGTGACTTCAGTTTGACTAAAATTTATATCTTGATCAAATGTAAGTGGTGATGATGAATAAATGGTTTCTCTTCCATCAAAGATGGGATGAAGATTTCCAAATTTATTTATTAAACAAAGGTGACAAAATATTTTGAAAAGTAATTTTGGTTTTTGTACAAATGGTTTAACCGTGAATTTGTAATGATAAATATCCACTTTCGGTAACTAAATTAATTATATTATAATAATAATAAAATAAAGAATAAGATTATTTTTTATTATTTTTATTTTATTTATTATTTATTTAACAATTAAAATTATTATTATTGTACTAACCGCTTTAATTCTAAGATAATTGCATTTTAGACCAATAGTTTTTCCACTGAATCCAACATCTGGTCTTTCGGCTATTCTAAGTTCTTCAAATGCAAGTTCATGATTTATTAATTTGGTTTTCTTTGTTTGATCTAAACTTGATGAAGAAGATGATGATTCGGATTCCTCTAAAGAAATAAATGATTCATTATCATTTTTATTATTATCATTGTCGTTATTAAAAAGTGTATTTTCACTACCACCACGACGTTTTGACATTTTTTTTTTTACAAATAAAAAATGGTATCAAAAAGAAAATGTATATTTCTTATTAAAATAATTATCGTTACAAGTTATTAAAATTATTATTATTTATATATGGTTAAATTCAATAATCACCTTTGTGGGAATTTTTCTTAGAGACGTTGTATTCATCACGGTTTATTTATTTTTTCGTCACATTTCGTTCATTTATTTTTTTTTTCATCATTTCGTGCATCTTTTTTTTTCTTTCTTTCAATTTATTTTTATCTAATCGAATTAAAAACCGAATTTTAGAGTGATGAGTTTATAATTTTTATCGTCATGGTGATGAGAATTTTAAATTTCGTAGTTTATTTACCGTATTTTCGTCACGATGATAAAACATGATGAAATTAAATATTCAATCAACTTTACTATCACACAATAACAACACAATACATATTGATTATTATATTATAATAATAAAGTAAGAATTAATAAAGAGAATTGATATAGAGATGACGATGACAAGTGTTTACGGAATTTATAACTTATGCAATTACAAGCTTAATTACCAGATCCATTAATTTAAATTCACTGAATTTGAATTAAACCAATAGTCAATAGATTAAAAGTCTTTTTAATTTTATTCTCGTAAACATAAATTGTAAATTAATTCAATATCATAACATCACGATCAAGAATTTTAAAGGTAATAATGACCGTGAACAGGTTTTAAAAGTACTGTCACGTTCTGTGCAGAACAAAGCGAAAGTTACACCAATCAGTCTCAAATTTATCACATAATAATTTAATATATATATCACTAATACGCTTTTACTGTGCACAATATCACGACACACCGTAAGTCAGGCAATCAGTCGATCTAAACCTGCTTACTGACACTCACGAATAATACAATTACGTGTAATATCTGAAGGTACGATGAGTAAGTGGAGTA